AAATCCCTTTTTTAATAATCCAAGAGCAAACTTGGCACTTGAGTCTTTAAAATTGATTTTTCATTGATTTTTCGTGTTTAATGGCAAGTGAAGCTTCTTTCTTTTTTCCTAAAGCCACATAAGGAATGAGTCATCAAGTTTTGTCATTTAATCAGCATCATGTCTTTGCAAAACTGTCTGCTGCTATTTTTTTTATGGTGCATAAAATCGAAAGCACCAAAAATTTAGAGTTTTTGGTGAACTGTTCTTTTAATCAAAGAACTTAACTATGGGTTGCTCTGTGGGGGTGTTTTTGATCAAAGTTTCAATTAGTGCATGCACACATACAATGCTGATACACAAGAGAAATCAGCAGGAGTCTTGCATTTGAGAGTGCCAACTGCTGAGAACTATCAGATATACTCACATAAATATCCTAAATTATGCTGTTTTATCTTATAACTACAGTGGTAGAAGACTATGTCTTTATAACTTGCCTTAAAGTAGTCAAAAGTTCAGATACTTGACTTGAATATAAGTTTCCTCATAATTTTGGAAGTCTAATGGAATGGTTGAAAATGAAGCATTTAAGCGTGATAAGTGATTTCTTAGAAACACTTTTGATATTTGAAATCAACACCCAAAAGAAACACTCCTCCCTTCATTGCTTCGACCCCAGATTCAGTAACAAATCTATTACTGGTGTGATAAGAATAAGGATTTATAGTAATAAAAACCTGAACCGAAAGAAAAAGCAAAAATGTCATATATACAGGCAATAGTTTGTTGTTAGGTAACACCAGCTCCAGACAAACAATGACACTTCAATCTGTCTCGTTGCTATACCTAACATTACAACAACAGTATATCTTGGTTGTGTGTAACATAACGAAACCAATGTTACTCAAGTACTCAAAGGGTTGCTTAGCCCTGGAAAGCTTTTCCAACGCAGGTCTTTCTGTAGTTCTTGCCTGATCGTAACCCTTGATTTTCCATTGATACTCCTCTGACCTTTTCCTCTTTAGGAATGTCTCAGTTATCTCTCTTTCTAGAGCTTTTCTGCAAATATCCCATGTACAAACTCTCTCTCCTCCCCTTCATGAACATTAACGCCACCTATTGCTGATTTGCTACTGATCGGTCTCCTTTATTAACACAGCCAGAACTATGTACAAACTTTTCTTTTTCCATCACACTAGCAGGTATTCACAAAATTGTTTGGTTGTTTATTTAAATTTTTGACATTGTTTCTCAGAAATCACTTACTGTACCTTTATTAAAGGGATAGTTCACTCAAAAATGAAAATTCTGTCATCATTCATTCACCCTCATATCCATCCAAACTCATAAAGAATTTTGTTCATGTTGAAGATATTTTTAATAATGAAACCTGAGCGGTTTCTGTCCCTGCAGTGAAAGATTATTCCAACAAAACTTTGACGCTTCAAAAAGTTCATAATGCACTCTAAAAAATGCTGGGTTGTTTCAACCTAACTTTGGGTCAAATATGGACTAACCCAACTTTTGGGTTAAAAATTTAATTAAAAAATTTAACCCAACAGCTGGGTTAGTCCATATTTAACCCAAAGTTGGGTTGAAACAACCCAGCATTTTTTAGAGTGTGGTATTATAAAAGTAATCCATATGAATCAAGCAGTGTAATCCAACATAAAGTATAAACAATTATCAAAAAAATACACACGCCTCATCAGCTATGATAAATGGAAACTGAAACATGTTTGTGTCACATGCAAGAACAAGTTCTTGCTCATCAAGAAGCACGTTGGTGCCGTAAACGTTCCGTTTACCATATTTGATGATCTCCATGTATGCGTTGATCAATGATTATGTGAATAAAAGCATTAAGTCAGTTCATCATATGTTTATCGTATTAAACTGCATGATTCATATGGATTACTTTTACATTGTCTTTATGAACTTTTTAGGTCTTGAAAGTTTTGGTGGAGTGGAATGTCAATAGAGGAACAGAAATAATCTTAATTTGTGTTTCGAAGACAAACAAAGGCTTATCTGCTTGGAATTAGGGCTGAACGAGCCTGGGTCTGTGCGACTTCATCTATGGCTTTTCTCTTTGCTTTCACAAACCGATCCATCTCCCATTCTAATTACGTCCTTTGGCTGTTTACTGTTTTATTTATTTTCTTTTTCTGCTGATGGCCCGCGCTCGACTTGAAGCAGCGCTGCTTAGACCGATGGGTGTGTGTCATCAAAGTACTGCCAGAGCTATAAGAGAGCGTGGACGTCTCCTTATGCTTTCTCTCGCCTTACTTTGATGTCATACACCGATCGATCTTCAAGTCAACACCCCTCTTTACTCTCGCGTGTCACGTGACCTTGTAATCGCAGCCTCTGCGATTGAAAAATCGCGTTTTCTCATATCGCGATATTATCGCAAATGCAATTAATCGTTCAGCCCTACTTGGAATGACTTGAGGTTAAGTAAATGATGGCAGATTTTCCATTTTTGCGTGAACTATCCCTTTAATCATCATACAGAAGTGTGTTCTTCTGTTCTTCTCCGTGTCAAACCTGTATCAAAGATGGTGCTTTTAGAACATTGCTGTTAATGGGTTTCCTTGAGCTTCATAAGCCTTCACTTATCTGCACATTGTACAGTTCCTCCAACGGCTTTCAGAGGATTTTCAAGACCTAAGGCCGCCACTTAACGCCATGGCAACAGACCTGCAGGTGCTGTTTTACATTCAGTCTCCTCAGCTGGTGAATATTATGGGCTGTGGAATAACGCACGGAAGAGGCCCATTATTGCACTCTTAATGGATCCATCAGAACTCTCTGAACAGCCCAGCGTGATTTTAAAGGCTTATAGAGCCAGAGAAAGAGTATGGTATACTCCCGATCTGATTTAATTACCGCTGCCCATGTCTTGGGTCCGTTCTCAATGGAAACAAACAGCGAATGAAGTGAATGCCGATTAAAAAGGATTTGGATTTGTGATGTCCCATGGGATCCGTTTAGAAGATCCTTCCACTCGTTTCCTCACTAATGATGATTTCACTAGCGTGTGTTTGAATGGCACGCTTATGAAGTTAATGAGGCAGAAATAATTTGCTTGTTGACTGCTTAATGAAGGTGCTAGCGAGCAACGCTCTCCAAATCTGAGGTTCCTCGTGGAAATGTGCGTTTGTATTTTATTCCAGTGGTTAAATAAAGATAATTGAGAAATTTCACTCTCATCACTCCTTAGTTACTTTGTAATTGTCGTTAAATGGTGGCCTTTTGCCCTTACTGTAGATGAGTGCAGCTGCATTTCTCATGCATGCTGTAATTGATGTATCACTGCCGCTGCGTCCGGGGGCTTCTGGGTAAATGGATGATCTTTGAATAGGGCCGGCTTCTTTTTATGTCCGCCCAGAACAGACATGTGATGGATTAAACATGGTGAACGACTGTTGAGATGATGGATGATGAGGTGCATGGACTTCCTCCCTCTCATACCGTCCTCTCGCTTTCTCTCGTTTCTCTGTGTGGTGCACTTCTGAACTGCGTTTCTGCAAAGTTTTGTTTCCAAAACACAACAAGAACAAAACAGTGCTCATTTTTATGGTAAAGTGATAGATCTATCACTAAAAAATGACAGTTTACAGAAAACAACTACTGGACATTTCAATCTAGATGATTGAGAATATAGAGGATACAGATTGCTTTTAGTGCATCTGTTTCATAAAATTTTTATTTTGTCAATTTGTAAATTATGTCTGAAAAGTACTCACTGATTCATGTTCATGTGAAGTTATGAAATGCAGATCAGCTTAGTTTCCTCTCAGTTGTTTTATTTAATCTTCGTTTTGCTTGTTACAGGTCACGCTGTGGTTCTGGAGGAACAATCAGTTGTCCTACATTAAACTCTAATGAGAGCAGTGTCAATAATCCTGACTTTTATAACTATTTGGGTTAATTATGGGTGTTTTATGTTTTCACGGCTAGAGATTAATTGGTTTATGATGAGCAGTGTTAAGCTTGAAAGTTTTACACTCTTAAATTGCTCATAAATGTATAAGCGCTGGCAGCATGTCAAACGTGATTGGAGTCTGTTTTCCCAGAGTCTCTTCTCTGAGCTGTTAGTGCAGTGATGTTTTTATGTTGTTATATACCATACATGCACTAAAAGCTACAAATATATTAAGATTTTTTAAAGACCCCAAGATATTTTAGATGTTTTTGTAAGCAGTCTCTACTGCTCACCACAGCTGCATTTATTTGATCAAACGTACAGTAAAACAGATATATTGTGGAATATTATTACAATTTATAATAACTGTTTTCTATTGTAATGCATTTTAAAATGTAATTTATTCCTTTGATGCAGAGCTGAATTTTCAGCATCATTACTCCAGACTTCAGTGTCACATGATCCTTTAGAAATCATTCTAATATAATTATTTACTGCTCAAGAAACTTCTTATTATTTTTTCATGATTGTTTGATGAATAGAAAGTCCAAAAGAACAGCATTTATTTGAAATAGAAATATTTTGTTACAACATTATAAACGTCTTTACTCTTATTATTGATCTATTTAATGTGTCATTTATGAATTAAAGTATTAATTTATTTATTTTTTAAATCTTATTTTTACCCCAAATAGATGAATTTGAAAGGTAGTGATATTTAACTCAAAAAGTTACAGTATATTGTCATTACATTCACTTTACGTCCACTTCTGGAAGCCTCCTAGCAGAATGACAGGAAAGAGAGGGATAGAGAGCGATAGAGCTGTAAATGAAAGTGGCATTGCTTATCTGAAAGTGTGTTGTAAACACAATCATCATGCTTACCATTTTCTTACCTGCTTCCTCTTTTCACCAGCATGTTATGTTGAAAAACTCAACTAACCTGAAACCTTAACTGGCCTAAAACATTCATACTGCCCTTTTGCTGCATTGAAAGCACTGCTGTTTCTTATTTTAAAGGGGTCATATGACGATGTTAAAAATAACATTATTTAGTGTATTTGGTGTAATGCACTGTTTACATGGCTTAAGTTTCAAAAAACACATTATTTTCCACATATTGTACATTATTGTTGCTCCTCTATGCCCCGCGTTTTTGAAACACGTAGATTTTTACACAGCTCATCGGTCTGAAAAGCGCTAACTTTTATAAAGAATATCTCTTTGGGTTTGAGACTTTAGTCTTTGCAACTTTACAGCTTCGATCTTATATACTGTATGCACAAACAGCTTGTAACACTCCAAAGGATAACTTGAAACCACATCACATGACCCCTTTATTTCATACTAATGTTTCAAATATGGGTGTGAGTAAGAATATTAAGAAATTAATACTTTTATTCAACAAGGATGCATTAAATTGATCGAAAGTGACAGCAAAGACATTTATCAAAGAATCCTGAAAAAGCTGTTTCCACAAAAATATGAAGAAGCACAACTTTTTTCAACATTGATAATAATCAGAAATGTTTCTTGAGCAGCAAATCAGTATATTAGAATGATTTCTGAAGAATTATGTGACACTGAAGACTGGAGTAATGATGCTTAAATTAGGCTTTGCATCACAGGAATAAATTACATTTCAAAATAAATTCCAATATAATACAATAATATTGCTTTCATTGTATTTGTGATCAAATAAATTCAGCCTGTAGTGTGGACGACCTAAAAGGTGCAGTAGGAGATCTTGGAAAATGCTAACTGTAGCCTGATAGCACTGAAAGCGAACGTCCCACCCTCCCTGCAATCGCCGTCCAAAGCCACGCCCCCTGAACGCATATACGCTCACAGACCAGACCATTTAACTTAATGATTGCTATCGTGATGTGAAGAGACTTTCAACCAGCATAACAAAAAAAATTTCTGAAGACAATCACCTATTGCACCTTTAAAACTAACATAAACATTACAAGCAGTCATTTTGTTGCATTTTTTTTTTTGAGCTGTGCTTAGTTTACACAATCTCTCATGGCAATTTTTTTTTCCCCAAGTAATTGATGGGCCACAGTACTTAAATGTGTGCGGTCTGTGTTTGCGAATGCTACAGTAAACAAACTCCATGATGTCTGAAACGATCTTCTGAATGCCGACTGCAAACATTCATGCCTCATTCACCCATCCTGACCTCAATACACTGATTCTTGAGGATGCCTCAGGACAAAACGTGACACTTATTGACCTGTGCTGTCTACTACATGCATGTACAACCATCAGTTACCCCCATCGTCTTCAATCAATACTGCCCATCATGGTGCTTAACACACCGCCAAGAACGAAGCCTTGTGGGTTCAATCGAGCACACATCATTAACCTCCAGGGTTGATTGAATGCCTCTTTTGTGGCTTTAAAAGGATAGTACATTTCTGTCATCGTTCACTCATCTGTATGATTTTCTTTCTTCAGTTTCCCATGAATAATATTCTGAGTTCCACAGAAGAAAGGAAATACAGGTTTGGAACGACATGAGGGCAAGAAATGGTGTTGTGCTTTTGTTCTTTCTGTATTTTCAGTATTTCTCCCTGTTGCCCTCTAGTTGCCTTTCTTTCTCTCAGCTTTGTCCTGTTTAAATCTTTCAGGTGCATTCAGAGGGAACAAACTCTGAGCCGGCCGTGTTTCTGCAGTCACATCCTCCTCCCATTCTCTCATTCTCACAGCCTTTGTGCTTATGTAATCTGTTTCTTGTAGACAGTGAGAGACTGAGGGAGTGAGACAGAACTTAAGAAATAGGGATATTCCTTCTTTTGTTCTGTTTTGCCGCTGTGCCATTAGCGACGAGTCTATTTGTGGTTTGAAAAGAAGCCCTCCATGTGTCCCGCTAGTTTTCCAGCCTGCCAGCACTATTCCCAACGGAGAAGGTGCTCTTTGTTGAGGCGTCTCAAGCATGCATATTATTTTCAGACGTGTGCTGTGAGGTGTTGTTGAGTCAGCGGGGTCACAGACAGCTGTCGCTGGGTGAGTGTTGAGCTGTTTGTCAGAAAGCTCTCCAGACAAATCAACAATACAGCATTTCTTTATATTCTGAAGATGAGGTTTCATGCAAACGTTTGGTTTTGCTTTTGGTCAGAGTTCAGTTGTGATTTTTGTGGAGTTGTCAACAGAAACAATGATTTGTCTTTTTCCAAGCACTGTCTGTTATGGGGTCGTGATTTCATAATTGCACAAAAAAAGACAATTTTTGGCTATTTATGTTTAAGCATTTCTGTAGTTCAAACAGCAGAGTGTGGCGCTAGCAACACCAATGTCATGGGTTTGATTCCCAGGGAATGCATGAACTGATTAAATGCATGCTTTTAATGCAACACAAGTCGCTTTGGATAAAAGCGTCTGCCAAACATATAAATGAGATTTTTCAAAATCTAAAGCTCCTCCAAGAGTTGTACATGTTTATGTATATGTTAAAAGTCATGTTTGCAAACCTGCTACAATGAGTACTTCAGAGGTGTTAATACATTTCTGGCATTGCCAAAGAGACTGTCCGTGTGCATATCCCAACATAATTACACTGCCACGTTATATGTGAAATATAATGCGTGTGTATTGAACTATGTTTATGTGTATGTGCATGAAGTGAAATTATGCGTAGGCTTCTTACCTCGATCAATTTACTTTTCGTTTTGTGCTAAACAAGAAAATAATTAAAAACGATTAAATCTGTGATTTATAATGCGTTCTTCCACATTTTTAAGCAGCCTAATGTACAGGTATGGATATTATAATTTTACTACGTTTTTATTTTTATTTAATTGTGTGTTTTGGCTATCAGTGTAGTTTTATTGGGGCGTAAGTTGATTTTAATTTGTGAATATTTTTCATTTTTATTTAGTTTTGGTATAGTTTTTAGTTTTCATTTTTGCTTTTCATTTGCTTGTGACACTACAAAGTGCATTAAATAAAAAGAAAAATCAAAGCTAAACTCAACCAAATAAACTGGATTTGCAAAACTTTCCAAATGTATTCATTTGCGTTTGAGGCCATTTCATTTTTCTTATAGATATCAAGACTGTCTAGCACTGATTGAAAATATGACAACTAAAGTCATTTTTATGTAATTCTATTTAATGTTAAAACCCCACTTTTCGTTTCGTTCTTTTTTTTTCTTTAGTTAATGTAGTTATTTTTGTTGGCTAGTTTTCACTTTCATAATAGATGATAACCTTGACGAGGAGCTCCCATGTGTAATTTGCACCTCTGTTTTATCCCTAACTTCATATTCTTCTTTATTCTCTGAGTTAAATCTGATTTCAGATTTTCTCATATTAAATATCACATAAAGAAAGGGGAATAGTGGCAGTCTGAATAACAGCGCTGTGCTTTGGTCTGTGGTTTGATTGAAGATGTAAGACTGTGTGGTGTTAGGAATCACCGTTAAACTAAAGTCTGCAGTTTGTGTACATGCACAGTGAACTTACATGATAGTACTGCAATGCTCAAAGAGCTTCCAGAACTTTGAGAGACAAACTTCCTGTTTGTATTTCTTCTAATTATCCTAGGTGCATGGACACAGACAGAAATGATGTGAACAACACTGAGCCTCATTTCCCCCGTTACTCAGTCCATAAATATCAAAACACACGGTCTGCTCCATTGTCAGGTTGACTTTCTTTCCTAATGTTTTCCATTTTCTGTCCTTCCTTTGCTTTTATCTTTTATTCATGTAGTCGGGCTGGTTCTTTATCAGCAGGTGGTAGTGGATTCATCATTACACTAAATGTGAAACACACATACTGTCCAGTGATCAAAGCAGCTGTCTGTACTGTCAGCACATCTAATGACAGCTGGTGCTTATTTAGCTCCGGCAGAGCATTATTATGTCTGACTTCTACAAAACTTGCTTACAAGGTAGTTGTGTGTGTTTGTCAGTGTCAATTTGATTGGCTTTTTATGTATGTGAAGCTAATGTTCCTACACATGTTACTGCAGGGTGCGTTAATGGAATAGTTCACCCGCAAATGAAAATGTATTCAGTCTTTCCAAACCTGTATTCAATTATTTCTGCCATGAAACACAAAAGCGCCATAAAAGTAGCATAAATGTTTCTCTCTGATTTGTGCTCTTTATTTCAAGTCTTCTGATGTCAAGTCATGGCTTTGTGTGACGGACAGACTGAAGTTGAAAGCAAAGATTTTTAACAAATAATTACTTATATTTCAGTCTGTTCCTCACAAAAAAGGTATCGTATGACTTCAGAAGACTTAATAATGCGCACAAATCATATGCTTTCTTTCTATGAAAAAAATCTGTATTAAATATTCTCTAAAGAAGTTATACAGGTTTAATTTTTTTTTTTTTTTTTATATACATGTTCAAAAAGTTCAGGGTCGGTAAACAGTAAAAACGTATTTTGTGAAATATTACTATTTAGTAACATTACTAAATATTATTTCAAATAACTGTTTTCTATTTGAATATATTTTAAAATGTACTCCTGTGATCAAAGCTGCTCAAGAAACATTTCTGATTATTATCAGTAATGAAAGCAGTTGTGCTGCTTTTAATTTTTTCATCTTAGATGAATGGAAAGTTCAAAAGAACAGCATTTTCTGAAACATAAATCTTTTGTAACATTAGAAATGTGTTTACCCTCATATTTGATCAATTTAATGCATCATTGCTGCTAAATAAAGGAATTCATTTATTTTACTTACTGACCCCAAACTTTTTAATGGTAGTGCATGTTCTTCTAGTGCAGAGCAGTGACTGATGGGCTCAGCCTTTTTAATTAATTAGCATTAAACTGAATTTTTTGCCCAATGAGTAGGGCATCAGATTTTAAATGAATCTTCTGTTCAGGATTCTGTGTTTATGGGAGCAGTATTCATGCACAGCGGCTGTGAGCAGGACGGTGTGTTGCATCATCTTACTGTCAGAAGCGCTTCAACAGAAATACAGATTTATGAGAGAAGATGTGCTTTCTCTTCAGTGCCCCATCCATATTTTCTTTCATAAGTCTATGTTTTGTGAAAGGGGTTTTAGAAGTGCAGTTCTGCTGTGAGCATGACATTTGAATTTTGGTATTTTTATTATTAGTGGTAGAATACAGTCTCCTTCATTGAATCCTTCATCTAATCCATCCATCAATAGCACCTTCTTGCAAGTCCAGTTCTTTTTCAACAAGTGATGAGTGAAAAATGCTTCTTAACCTTCAGAAAATATTGTTTGTCTACCTCAGGAAGTCAAACTATTTGCCTGTTCTTTAATGTTTGATTATAATTGGTCAGTTGCGACATTGAACAGTCATTGAACATTTATGATTAATTATGTTCTGCTGGATGAGAGAACTGTAAATAGAGAGCTTATTGCAGACTAATATTAGTATTTATGACTGTAATGTGGATGCAGTTTTCATTTGGATTCATTTTAATCAGCATTTGATTGTATTTTCTTATCAAAAGTTTTAAGGCAGTCTAAGTAGACAATTAAATAATTAATTCATACCAATCTACAGTATGTTGTTAGGGTCGTGATCACCATCTTGGGGTTTGTGATAATTCACTTTTTATTTTATTTTATGATAATGAAATGTCTGAATACAGATTAAAAACTCTGGGTTGTGTGAGGTCATTATTTTAAAATATTAAATAAATGTTTAAAAATTTAAATTAATGTAACTTAACAGGGTTAAATGGTTAAGCTTGATGTTTATGTAACTCCTAAAATTTGTGTAAAAATAGAAAAAAATTGAATGAGATTATTTGCAATTGTGCCAAAAAAGTGTCTGACTGATTTGTACAATACCTTTGTCCGTCTACTGTTTTGGCACAAACATAACACCATAGTCTTCCCGTCATGCTGTAGAAAGGTTCCAAAAGATATCACTCCCTTAATTTCACAATCGTTTCATTAGTGAGTTGAGTAAAAATGTGGGACACTGCCAAAGTGAAATTTTTTGGTTGTTAATTAAAAATAGTTTTTCTACAATAAATTCAGTTCAACAGATTAGAAAATCCCTACATTGAGAAAAAACAATGGTGTAGTAGTTTTTAAAGTCTGAATACAGAATAAAAACTCTGGGTTGTGTGATGTCATTATTTTAAAATATTAAATAAATGTTTAAAAATTTAAATTAATGTAACTTAACAGGGTTAAATGGTTAAGCTTGATGTTTATGTAACTCCTACAATTTGTGTAAAAATAGAAAAAAATTGAATGAGATTATTTACTTGTCTAATATGGTGTTCCAATTGTGCCAAAAAAGTGTCTGACTGATTTGTACAATACCTTTGTCCGTCTACTGTTTTGGCACAAACATAACACCATAGTCTTCCCGTCATGCTGTAGAAAGGTTCCAAAAGATATCACTCCCTTAATTTCACAATCGTTTCATTAGTGAGTTGAGTAAAAATGTGGGACACTGCCAAAGTGAAATTTTTTGGTTGTTAATTAAAAATAGTTTTTCTACAATAAATTCAGTTCAACAGATTAGAAAATCCCTACATTGAGAAAAAACAATGGTGTAGTAGTTTTTAAATTTCTAGTAAATTTCACAGTTAATAACAAAGAAATGGTTAAATAACATTGAATTGAACATGAAATTTTTAAGTAGAAAGACTGAAAATAATATTTTGTAGTAAAACATACTCCAATAATCTTTGTTTTACAACAACTACAAGTAATGTGTAACAAGGACACTATAACATACCATTAAGGGGGGCTTATTTTACTACTAGCTACTTTTCTGTTAATGTTATGATAGATAATAGTTAATTGAACATTTAATAGTTCTCACTCCAAAGAAAAAAAAGCGTTCTTTTATTGCTCTTAAGCAAGCATACTTAGCCACCAGTTTGTTCCTATTCTCAGAGAGTGCCATCTAAGTTAGGATGGCATTTTTTGTTTTGTGGTGCTTCAGGCTCCTGGTGCCTGTCAGACGCAGGTGGAGATGGTGGCATGCGAACCAGCAGCCTGCAAACCATGACAGAGTGTTGCAACCAATCACTGTCAACAACACTCAACACTGCCATACGTAACCCTGGCAACCAGACCGCTTTGAACCAATGAGCTTTTCTCTCCAAACTTCTTTGACTAACGAGCATCACTGACCGACGCCTCTGTGTTTCTATCTTTAGGGGCCACAAAAGAAAACTGGAGGAGGCCAGAGAAGATAACGACGACGATGATGATGATGATGGCGGCTCCAGTAAAGACTCCAATGAGGATGAGGAGGGCAGCAGCTCGGAGGCTGATGAGATGGCTGCTGCGCTGGAGGCGGAGCTAAATGATTTCATGTGAGCTGATTGGACGACGATGCATATGAACTATTCTGTGTTCTCATAAGGTACCAGAGATGAAACATGCATTCGTGTCGCTGTTATACAGCGCAAGTAAATGTGTGTGTGTGTCTGCGAGTGTGTGAGAATAAAACAAAGGGGTTTACAAAGTAGATAGATATGTACAGATAGAGTTTTAGTAGGGATAAGTCCAACACAAAGTCATTTTATTGTGAAGTTACTTAAGAGTACATAGCGGTGTGGGAAGTAGAGCTTCTGTGTCTGATGTTTTACTTAGTTTCTGTTCCAAAATTAGTTTTTATATAATTGTAAATGAAGTTAAATATTTCAACTAATTGGTAATGAATGCCAAAGAGTCTGAAGAGCTCTGCTTAAGGACCCCTCAGAAGACTTTCGGAGGGGTTTGTGGTCCTCACCAGCAGTAGAAATCAGACGTCCGAATGTGTCCGGTGTCGTCTCTTTCCTTTGGTTTTGTGCGTCGCCCTGTGCTGTTGACGCCCCTGTGTGTGAGACTGACACTGTGCTGCACCAATCCCAGAATACCAGCAACCTTTAGACACGCCCACAGCCACTATTACCAAAAAACCTCACAACTGCTATGTGAAGAACTGATAAGAACGTGAAATGTAAAATCAGTAATACACTTGCAACAGACGATTTGACTTACACCATTATGGTTTGCGACTGATTTATTACGATATTAAAGGAGTAGTTCACAAAAATGACTTGTAAAGTTCTGTCATCATTTACTCACTCATTGCAAACCAAGAAACATATGAGATATTAAGTAGAATGTCTGAGCTGCCACAGTCCAAATTTAACACCATAAAAGTGATCCATATGACTTGTATGTCCATATTTCATGTCTTCTGAAAAAGCTTTATGTGAGGAAAATACAGGAAAGTCATTGTTTACTTCAAATGTAGGGCTTTTGATGCAAGTTTGACATGAAATTTGATAACAAGACAATAGATATTAATGATATCAATGCATTGTTTTAATAGTCCATATTGCTTTTTATAGCTTGGTGGAGTGAAAGATTATCAGTTTGCTCCTCACGCAATGATATCATATTGCTTCTAAATACTTTGAAAGGCGCTTATGAATCACATGGGCCACTTTTAATGCCTTTGTTCATCTTGGAGCTTGATGTTATAAATCCAACTTTTGTTGTAGATAAAAGAGCTGCTCGGGCATTCTGCGTCTTCTTTAGTGTTTCGCAAAAGAAAGAAAATTACACTTTGGAACAACATGTGCTAGTAAATGATAACAGACTTGTCATGTTTGTGTGAACTGTTTCTGTAACTACCTACAAATTGATACTTGTGGTCTTTTCTGCTCCTAAGATGACAATTAAATGCCACCTTTTACTCTGATGTCAGCGTACAGATATCGTCATCTTCATTTGGCTTCAGGTGCTGATAAGTGAACACTGTGGCAGCATTAAACCGGGTGTTTGGTTGGCTCTCGCGCCACCCTGAACCATCACTGTACACACTGATCAGATCTGGACCCGTGGGCATCAAGACTACCTGTCTAAGACCAGTTTCATGAATTCACTGGTTCAAGCTGGTTTTCTTGTGTCGAGCTGATCTAACTCAGTTTCTCAGAGGTTTGTGCACCTCATCTCTCGTGTTGTTTTTGACTGATGGATTTTTTTCACTTTCATTGTGGTGTTGTTTTCAACAATGTAAAGTATTTGTATATTCTATTTCGTACTTGACAAAGAAAATGCTTTTCATTTAATAAAGATTTGTTTTATAAACCAGTACTTTGAGGTTTTTTTTGTATTGTTGAATGCAATGTAGTGTGTAAAATAAATAAATAAATCAATAGCACAGATTGTCAATGCTATAATGTTAAGAAAACAAACAAAAAAAAACTTGAGGCAGCCAGCTTCAATATACTCAACATATTGAAAAAAAAAAAAACTTACGCAAACTTATGTTCTAAAAAAAAAAGTGCAAAATTTAAGTGCATTAATCTTACATTTTAAACTGATCACAAACATTACTGTACACAATAGAGCCCGACCGATATGTTTTTTTGGGGCCGATACCGATATTAGGGAGTAAAAAAAAGCCGATATCGATATATCGACCGAACTTCAGTAAGGAGGTCTCTTGTTCAGGCAGCAGCATTCAAGCGTGGTCTCCTCGAGCTGAAGGGATCCCCCGAATTTGGTGCGGATTCGCCGCGACGTTACGGAGACATGGCCGTTCAAAGTTTCAATGGTTTTCCATAGACTAAGCTTTAAAGCGTTTCATCCAGGTCGCCAGTAGCAAACAGCAGAGCGCGGTCTGATGGACAAACTAAGTAATTACACCATTTCAAGCATTTTATCTGCGTTATATGTTCTGTAAAAAAAAAATCATATCGGCGGCATATTTGCCGATACCGATATATATCGGCGCAGGCTCATATCGGCCGATAATATCGGCAAAACGATATATCGGTCGGGCTCTAGTACACAATAGAGATGTAGAACAGAAGTGTCTAAATTCTGTATCAATTTGTTTAGGAAACTGAAAAGCGTATATGGAGTAACTATGTTTATACACACCTAAACAAATTTAGTATATGCTTACTGAAATAGAAGAAACTTCAACACGAATTACTATAATGGTGACAATGGAAACATCTACATAGAGCTAAAACATCAATTAATTCTGAATAACGCAATATTTATCATAAATCCTCATGTTTTGACCAAAAAAATTTGTTTGACTCTTATGCTCACCAAGTCTGCATTTATTTGATCAGAAATGTAGTAGAAGTTAATAAATATTAATTGAAATATTAATTAAATGAAATATTATTAGAATCTAAAATTACAATCTGTTGTTGTAATATATTTAAAAATTATTTATTTGTGCTGCAAAGCTGAATTTTCAGATTTTTAGATTAATAGAACAGCATTTATTTGAAATAGAATACATAGAAATTAAATAAAATATAAAATATAATATTTTATAATATATTTTATAAAATATTATATTATAATATATTATAAAATATATTTATTTATAATATAAATAAAATATAATAAATAGCAAATGGTGGTCACACCAGATACTGACTGGTTTTCGGCCCCCCCCCCCCTAAAAGTTGACTTTGATGTAATGTCAACTTTATCCCCATTTGATAGTTCAGTTAACCTTTAAAATAGTGTTGCCTGACAAAATGGAAGTTGGATTTGTACAGAGTAATACACAGTGATTAAGAAGATTTTAAAGTAAACAAATAGGGGGACAAAACGAACTGGACGTGGCTTTTTAGATGTATTTTTGTCTCTTAAAAACAGTAACTGGTAGGACTACATGAAAACAATTAATAAAAACTAGTGCTAAAGAGACAGTTTCTGCTGGATGTCCCTGAAGTAAAATTAGCTGAAGCTCATTAGGCCTGCAGTGCTGCTTCAGTAGTGATTTGACTCTGGCCGCTGTGTTGTAGGGGAAAATCAGTCCGGAAGCCTCCTGTCTCTATGATCCTCTTTAATCCACCCGCTCGAAATCGTTCAATAAAACACACTAAAGAGTCTTTCAGTGCAGTGAGCGCAGCTTTACTGTGAAGCAGCACATCTGGAATACTGATGATGCCGAGTTACAGTGCAGTCGAGTGGGTGAGTTTCTCAAATGTCTGAAAACACTCCAGACTGTGAGGATTGCGCTTTAGTTTCAGTGATTCGTCTCTATCTGTGAATCACTACAGATCCCACAGCTACTCTTCTGTATGTCTCGAGGCTGTGCTGAAATCTCATAACACGGCGCTGAATTAATCCTGAGATTAAGCATTAGATCCCTCAATGGGCTTTTCAGAATAATCATAATCCCACTAATCTTTTAATTGTGTCATCAATTAATATTAGTTTGAATATAATTAAAAGCTCAATGTGCAGTCTCAACTTTTCTCTCTTCAATCGTCTTCCAGTTTAACCGCTGCTTTAATATGTAAGGTATTATAATTACTTAAGGGATAATGTTCAGTGGCCCAGAAGTATTTGGGCACTTAAGTCACACTTAAATATTATCTTTTATTATTCTTGAAAGGAGTTCGGCACAGTATAAAAATATAAAAATCAAGCCAATTGGCATATATTTTAAAGAAGCATAATACACTTTTTTTAAGCAAATAATTTCACGCAAAAAAAATGTTAACACTATATAGACTGATATTCAAATAAGTTTGGTAATTTTTAAATAAAAATAAAAATGTTTTTGTCTCTTAAGCTCACTAAGACTGCATTTATTTGATAAAAAATATATTTATTGTGAACTTTTATTCTATTTTAAAATGACTTATTATAAAACGGATAGTTCCGGTCCTTGATTCTGATTGGCTGAGCCACGTTCGAAGCTGTTGTAAATTACTCTACAAACATACACCTTTGTTTACGTTTGTCTGTTGCTCGGCAACCACTTTGTTGCAACCACAACTGATTCTGAGGAACTACATTGTTTGGTGGAAGAATACTGTTTTTATTGTAGGTTGTAATTCCTAAGCATTTTATATTTTTGTTCAACCCCTTGAATTAAAGCTTATAATTACATCTTGATTGTTTCATATTAATTCTATTCTGGTGGCATACAGAGCCAAAATTATGAAAATTGTGTCAGTGTCCATATATATATATATATATATGGACCTAACTGTACATATGCACGCACACAAATATACATCCATTCATACACTCACATACAATACAAATGAAAATTATGAAACATACAAGTATAATTGCAAAAGTGACCCTAAACATCCACATTATTTTCATTGAACAATCTAATATGGTGTTTTGTAACACCATAAACATCTTCAGTCACATTTGATGAAGTTAATACATCCTTATTAAATAAAAGTATTAATTTTAGAAAAGTAGAATGAATAAAGAAAAGACAAAAAGCACTTTTTGATTGATCTAATGCAATGACATTCAGACAGTAAAGTATATACATTTGGGGCAACTATAACATATTTCCTCACTTTATTTGAAACGAACAGCACGAGAGCTACATTTAGCTGGTACATCTGTACTTTTATCCATTTAGGATCATACATTCAGATTTATAGGCTTTAAAGTGATGTTCAGGTTGTTTAGCTGTGAAACTGGCTTCGTTTGGCTCTCAGAGCTGTGGTGAGTATGCATGAGCCCTTTCTCTGGCTGTTTTCTTGCTCTGGTCTGATCTCAGGGGTGTGCGGTGGGAAAGGTCAGCACAGTCCAGCATAAACAGCTGCTTTATGTTTTGACTGACAGCTGTATCAGTGGAGCTCTGTGAATTGCTTCTTCTCATCACTGATTTTCTGCCATGTAAGTTTGCCAGTTTCCACTGGGGAAATACTATGATTGAAGCTCAGAAAGCCAATAAATAGTTTTTTTTTGTGCGTGTTGTTGATTGGCAGGTGAGGCAGACTCACTTGTCATGTACACTGGCAATGCAGCAATTCCCTGAGGGAACAGAAACGATTAGGACCTGGCAGATGTTTTGTTGTACAGTGTCTGTGTTAATGATTTTTGCTGAAGGTCAGGCTTCTTAGACAGACCGAAATGAGCACAGGTTTATTCAGAAGTAACTGATGCTGATTTCAAAATGAATTAAAAAGCAACACTGCAAATATACTATGTGGGGAATAGTTAATGAAAATCCTCAGGTCATCTCAAATGAAGATGAGTTTGTTTGTTCATCAAAACAGATTTGGAGAAATGTAGCATCACATCACTCTGCAGTTTCTTACAAGCACGCAGCTTTTCACTTTACAAGACATTCATTGATGGACTGGAGTGGTGTGGATGATTGAGATGTTTTTATCAGCTGTTTGGACTCTCATTCTGACGGCACCCATTCACTGCAGAGCATCCATTGGTGAGCAAGAGATGTAATGCAACATTTCTCCAAATCTGATGAAGAAACAAACTCATCTATATCTACATTTTCAGTAAATTTTCATTTTGGTGAACAACTCCTTTAATGAGGTCATGAGTGAATAAGTGAGCAGCAAAAAAAAAATAGTCCAGTAATGGACTAAATGTATGAAGGTATTTTTGGTGCAAAACAACTGAGCATCCGTGACAGCGGAATTTGTAGTTGTAGAGAATAGCCAATATATAAATAACAATAATTAGTTATTATTAAAGCATCCAAGAAAAAAATATATGTAAGAAAACATTCTACAAGTGTGTAAATCTCATTGCAAGTATTCACATACTGATTTGTGGATGTATGAAATTCGTCTGTGACTTCACATTTTTGATACAGGTGTGTGAATGTGTTTGGCACCATATTCACTGCAGCAGTAGTAGCAAAACATGTGAGCGTACGAGTTTCTTCATTTGTGATTCGTAGAATAGGATTTGTGCGGCTGCAATGAAGGATTCGAGAAGGTGTAACTGTTGTGTTGTGTTTGTGGGAGAGAGAGAAAAATCTACAAGTTTGCAACTTTTGTCTGTGACTTCAAATTTACTATTACACATGTGTGGCTATTCTCTACAACTACAAGTTCCGCTGTCACGGACGCTCAGTTGTTTTGCACCAAAAATATACCTTCATATAAATGCCATTAAACTGCAATTTTAAAGGGCACCTATTATGCAAAATTCACTTTTACATGTTGTTTGAACTGAAATGTGTGTTGGCAGTGTGTGTACACAACCACCCTATAATGATAAAAATCCACTCGCTCATTTTTTTTTTTTATCCCTGTAAATCATAAGTGTCTGAGAACAAGCCGTTCGCAGAATCCGTAAAATGTGACGTCACATTTTACAAGCCCCGCCCACA